GCAGTGCGGTTCAAATTGCTGGAGCCTTTACACTACCAAATTATAGAGTTTCAGTGATAGGGACATTGATGACGGGTGACAGGATCTTATCAATCGATAAGAAACGATAAGGGGTCATTATCATTACCTCTCTTATCACTATACCCCAAGTACCAAAGGCTCAGTGTGCATACTTTTCCTTCAGCCATCACTTCCCTGATAGCCTTAGAAAATGAACTCATCCTACTATCCTACTATATATAATCCGCTAAGTATGTCTGTAAGTGTGTGTGTGTGTGTTTGTGTGTTGGTTGTGTGCGTCTGTCTGTCTGTCACGAAATTCATAGCGAGCGTCGCAGAAAAGATAGGACGACAGTTCCAAGAAGTGATATACGTGGCAGGACGGGAACACTTTTGGTGATAGAATGTGAGTGTAGCGCGGGGGCCTGAAAGATCGATAAGGCGGCTTAGAAGGGGAGTGACGAGCCCGGTAGCGCGGGACACAGTAACAGTTTGGACATTGGTTCCAGGCTAGGAATGAACACAGGGTGACCGAGCCCATGGTGCGGGTGCGCGCGCAAATTGCTGGAGCCTTTACACTACCAAATTATAGAGTTTCAGTGATAGGGACATTGATGACGGGTGACAGGATCTTATCAATCGATAAGAAACGATAAGGGGTCATTATCATTACCTCTCTTATCACTATACCCCAAGTACCAAAGGCTCAGTGTGCATACTTTTCCTTCAGCCATCACTTCCCTGATAGCCCAGAGCACTTGGCGTCGACAAGCCTAAGAGTTCGCAATGCCAAGTTAGTGCGAGCTGCATAAGAAAGATGCTTTACCAATCATCGACAATCCTCCCAATAATCCAAAACGGGAGCATACACACAGTTTTGAAGAAGAAGTGAGATCTGAATGACCATGTGAGCTCCGCGTAAGGGAGCTGCGGCTACTGAAGCTACTGGATGATGAAGCTGGTTCCACGGTCAATCCCTGCAAAAAGCAGCTGAAAGATTCGGGAAACATTTGCCCGCACACTGACAGTGCAGCCTACCCCGTCCAAAAAAGGTCGAGCTGAACCTCATGCACTAGAGCTGTATGGCTCTCCCTTCACAGAGGTGTAGCCCAAGCCTTGTCCCTTCTAACTGCTAGTGGCCTTTCGTACTTACCGGCTGTTAGACTAAAAAACTTCAAGACTGGAGCCCAGGTCAAAATCGAGATGATGTCCAACTTTGCGTCGTGCTGGACTTCTTGTGAAGGGACAGCATCAACTAGGTGCTTAAAAACTGGCAGAAGCCCTGCAATGACAATGCTATACACACTTTTACGATCTTACCCTCCTCTCATAAAAAGAAAGCATAATTCGAAAAATTAGCAGAAACCTCCCACCACCTGGTAAATGAAGCGAAGAGACCAGTATAACTGTAACTGTGGGGCCACCTGTGGGCGGGTTGTTGCGTTGGGCGGCTGGATCGGCATGTTGCACCTTGATTGGCGCTTCAGCGTTATAAGGTGGCCCTAGTTGAAAAGGCAACACGTAGCGTCTGCTCAGAGGCACAGCAGTCTCTCGTGCTTAGGGTTGACCCTGTAGATTTATCGCGCCAATCTCCTTGAACATAGCGAGTCAGACTGCAGATCTATTATGGACTGGAGTCCCCTTTGATTTCCAATGTAAGTTCACTTTCTTTTATTTCAGCACTAAACTATATGACCGTAAAATCTATACAACAAACATCGCCACTGAAGTCCTTTGTTCATACGAACACTCAGGAGGAACATTCTTTCATTTCCGTATCAACAGACAATCTAAAAGTCATGCGACTACGTCATGTCAGAGTCCAAGTACGCACCTTTGTTTTCACGAGCACCTGAAATATTCCAGTTTTCCTTTCAACTTTACAGACCATTCCATGGTGATGAAGAATTCAAGCAGACCTTCTTCAGAGCACAAGAAGCTATGAGGAAAGGCAATTCATCCCGTGTTGATTCCAGAGGGAAGTTCAGGTGCAGAGCAGGATTGTAGCTTTGGAGAAGCCCCGGACGCGAACTGGTTATTGAACGAAAAGTGTTACGAACAAAGTCCTCAAAGCCTAAACTCTGCTCCCAGACAAACCGCGCGATTGAACATTGTGGTGCAACGCTCAGTTACGGACCTATAGCCGCTAAGACACTCTCTTGGAAGAAAAAAAACAAAAAAGCGGAAAAGACATCACGAACATCCGTAGTGAGCAACCGCTGGTCTTCAGTGTATCGGTTCTTCGGAGCTAATCCATTCAATCCAGCAAGTGATCGCCTGTCGCTCCTGGTTCTCTAATCGTCTTTTGTGGTCATCCAGTGCTGAATGCCATTCGACAGCGAAACAAAACAACGAAAAACTCCATGTAGAAACGAAACTCGTGACAGAAAATAGCCTTCGTCTACGTGTTGTGCAGAACTGGGTTTTGAGAAACAGGCTGTTTGTCGGACTATTGCACGAAACCATTTCATCACTGGTGTATTGGATGCGCTTTACCTTGCGAGATGAATTGCTTTTGACTACATGGGTTCTTAATGGAAAAAGATAATGAAGAAGAGCGCAATTATTACTCATCAGACAGAGGATTCTGGATTTATACCCCCCGTTGAATCAACTAGCAATTAAAGGCACGGTCCGCGATCAGGTATCGAAGTTGAAAATATGGCGTCAGGAGGTTAGAGTGGTCCGCGACGAACAACCTTGTACCGGTTTCGCGGCAAAAAATTCTATGGGAGGGGCGCTGTAGCGCAATATAGGTTCAGTGGCTCCTCCTTTTTTCCAGTGACTCCGCCTCCAGACTCCGCCCCTAATGACTTCCAGTGAAAAATGAGATTGCAGGACGAAAAAGCATGATAATCGCCACTTGTACGATCGTAGAAATCTTATCGGTGAATCAGCCGTGCATATGAGGGCGTAGTTTTGGAGATAGAGTTGATTGGGCACGTACAAACTGGGATCGAAATGGGGTTCTATCTAGGGCAGGTGGCATGTTTTTTGTGCTTTTTTTTGTTCACAGTCGAGTTACTCAACCCCTTGTCGTCTATATGGAACCCCCTAATCCACCATCTGAGATGGCGAGTAATCGCGGGTTCTTCCTTTAAGCGCCCTGCGGTAAGTGCAACGAGGAAGAAACTGGGTAGGGAGTCCAACTGAGAGGGTGTTAGAACTTGGACTTGTGACGGCTGCCTCACCCTCATCTCTTACGGTGAAGTCGTGAAAGTGCGACAATCTCTGCACCTGCGTACTGGACTATTGGGACAGGGAAGGACGAACATGAATTGATTGAGCCCGGGGTGGGTGTTCGAGCAGACTAAAAGAATAACGATCTACCACGCTTCCCATCCATTGCAGTCTGCGGCGCAGGCCACCCCAGCCTCAACAGCTCCTCAGTGGCGCATCCTTGCTCTTTTCCCTCTGGAGCGGACTTATGAGGAAGGAACAGCGGTTGCTCAGTGTCCACTGCGGGCCTCAAAAACCCTATTCGAAAATCTACCATTGAAGCTATTTTCGCTCTGTCCACTGCACATGAAAGCAAATTCACATGGAACTAGTATTCAGAGGGAACTGCCCAAAACAAAAAGATCTGTGCTTAGATTAGATTTTTCCGCTTGGACCGCTTATTCAGGGTCCTACTATGTTCGCGACGAGAACTTGGAGAACATCGCCGTTTTCAAGCCCTCGGACGAGGAGCCATTTGCAGCGCTGAATCCTAAGTGGCCAAAGTTCTTCCAGAGGTGAGTGAGATGATCACACATGAAAGCATGGAAGAGACTTCTGTGACGTCCACTCTTCCTTTTCGCTGCACCTATAAGACGTCGGAATCGCACTAGTAGTAGGTAATTAGGCTGAAGTAAACTTGTAGAAGGACAGCGCTGGCGATCGCCTCTTGTAGTTTGTAAGGTGAGTGTCGTGCGACTTGCTTACAATGCTACATGTCAGGGTGTTATGCTTCTGCTGCTTCGGACGTGCATGTCTGATTCCGAACAACGGTTACTTATCAGAGACTGGAGCCAGCATAGTAGATGACCTGCTGCAGGTGAGCTTCTCATTAGTTACCTTGCTGTCAGGAAAGAGACCAGTATATGCTTCCCAGTTGCCAGATTTCCACGTTTACTTTTCTTCTCGCTTCTCCATAGCTAATATTGAATTTCCAGTTGCATATCGTGCCAAAAACGAGGGTTGTCCGTATGGCGTCACCCTCCTTCTATTACTCTCGTTGCTGCGGACGCTATGAAATCAAACCAAAAGAGGGCAGCTTCCAGGTGATTCGCCTTCTCGTTTCCATGTCATTTTCAGAAATTTTCCAAATCTCATAACTATCAAACAGGGCGCATCGTTAAGTCAAAGCTTTTTGAAGTTTTACGTGATTTACCTCCACGAGTCATTCCACTCAAGTGCCTTCATCAGAGCGTGTGGAAGGGGTGCGTCAGCGGGCTGAACCGTAAGCGTGATAGCGGCTGGGAATGTTGCCACTTTCTTGGACAGCAAGGTCGTAGATAGCATATCATAGATCTCTACTGTCACTCTTTTCAACTTACGACATTCAATGACATGCAGCCGACGCGCTAAAGCTGTACTTCACGACTTGGCCGACTCAGTTGCGACATATGGGGACGAGCGATCCGCTGTCGATTACTTTCGCCGCTGACCGTATAACTCTGCAAGGAGGTTCCATCTTGTTCCACGACTGGATCCTTCGATTGG